CCTCCTGTGCTTCACCTGGTACACGTGGCCGAAGCCTCCACTGGCCACTTTCACCCAGTCCTCCTCGAAGTCATCCTTGGTGAAGACAGTGAGGCTGCCCAGGTGCCTCCCTGGCTCGGCACTCATGGCAGCCTGGCCGAGCTGCTGCTGCCTGGCTGCTCCAGGGAGGGCCCAGGGAGCTCCTCCTGCTCTGCCTGCCATGGGGAGGTGGGGACTCACCTGAGCTGAGCCCTGGCACTGCTGCCAAGAGGTGGATCCCCAGCCTCACTCCCTCTGGGATGCAGAGGAGCTGCATGACTTCATTCCAGGCTGGGAATACACCCCCATTTCCATAAGAGCCAGTATCAAACACAGGCAAGACAAACACTGTGATGCTCAAGTTTTATTGCAGGAAGGTGAGGAGAAGGTGAAGGAACACAGTCCATGGCTGCAGAGTGGCAGGGCTTCCCTCCCTCCACAGCCCTTCCAGCTGTGCTGCATTTCTGGGCAATCAGCTCAGAGATCCCTTAAAGGAAAGACCTGCTCATATCCTTCATTTTATTGGTATCTTTCCCCAGTGCATTCCAACAGATTCCAGTAGCAGTGTGGGACTGGAGCTCTCTGACAGCATCTGCTGCAGCTGCTGGTGAACTCCCAGTGGCACCAGTGCTGGGGTGAGGTGTGACAGCACAGCAGCAACTCCCACGACAGCTCAGGGTCTGACAGACTCTGCCTCCCTCCAGACTGACCAGGACATTCCCAAATTCTTGGAGACAGGCTGGTCCAGGGGGAAGTGGGAGCCACTCGGTTGTATTTGCCTCGAGGTGCTCTTACCCACCTGCTTTCTCTGGCAGCAGCAGCAAAGGAACTGGACCCAGCAGCTGGATGTGGTGAGTTCTTTTTCTGTGCTCTGACAATGCTTTGGCATTCCTAACTTTCTCCCACAATGTGGAACTTACCAAGAGGCAGTGAGTGAGAACTTGTTAGAGCAAACAGGAGCAGGAGTAAAGCCACAGGAGGAAGGGACTGTGCCCCTGAGAGAGGAGGAAAGCTGGGAAGTGAGGGGCTGCATCTCTGGAGCTCTTGGCTCCTGTCCACATTCCCAAGCTCATCCCTTTTCCTGGCACTGTCTCTCCCTGCTGGCATGGCTCTACCCTACAGTGCTTTACTTGATCTGGCTCTTCTGCACCCTGATCTCCTCCTGCTTGCCCATCCCTGTGCCCAGGCTGTGGCTCCAGCTCTGCTCTCCCTGACAGCTGCACCACCACTACAGCTCCTTCTCTACTCTGCACTTTGTGGGCTTGCTCACGCAGAAGGAAGGAAAGGAAGGAGAGGCACACTTAAAGCAGAGATGGATCTCTTGCTCCCTGGGTCAGCAGGAGCTCTACAAAAGCAAAACAGTGTGCAAAGCTGAATCAGTTGCTTCTCTGGTGGCTGTGGCAGTGGTGTGGGAGCTGCTGAGCTTCACAGCCCCTGGATCTCCACGAACGGTGGGTAACGGAGGGTTTTGGCTTTCTGCCTGTGATGCAGCCAAAGGCTCACAAAAGCACTGCCCAAGACAGCAAAGCCAGTGAGTGATCCCAGCAGAATGGGCACCAGCATGGCAGAACCAGGACCTGCACACAGAGAGAAGGAGTTGAGCAGTGAACAGTGTGAGGAGAGGGAGAAGGTTAAACTCTGAGCATGCCAAGCAGGTGTGGCATGTCTGAGTTGTTAAAAATGTGCTGCTCTTCTTGCAGCAGCACAAGCTGAACAAAAACTGCTGCAAGAGAGAGACAAAGCAGAAGACTCACCTTCCACAGGTTTGTACAGGAGCCTGCTCTTCGTTCTCCAGACTGGTCCCAGTGAGACCAAGCTGTGCAGGTTTCCATAGCTGTTCCTGTCACTGGGCTGCAGAACTGGCTCCAAGCAGTCCTGGGAACGACATAGAAAACATCTGGAAGTGCACTGATGGCAGCTGAACAGAACCTATGCCCCAGGGACTGTGCACAGTCCACAGCAGCCACAGGTCTCCTCAGATTCCTGGTTTTCCAGCTCTGCTGTCATTCCAACAGGTGAGTTGCTAATCCTTGGACCAGCACATATACACATCTATTCCCTAATTCCTTCCTTTCCCCTAGCAACTATTGCTACTATTCCATATCACTGACTCCTCTCCCAGACTTTACCCAAGGGATTGGCTGGGTATGGAGTGACCTGGATGTGGTGACTGTGGCAGCACCAAATCCTTCCTGAGCCCTGTAAGAGCAGCCCCATCCCACGTACCTGTTCACATCCTGCTTTGCCACGCAGACAGACACTCAGCTCACAGTGCAGATAGGCCATGGAGTGATTCAGCATCTGGAACAGCTGGATGGTGAAGCTGGCAGCTCTGGACTGGCTGCTCTGCAGCAGCTGGATGTGCCTGCACTCAAGTGGCAGCCTGGCAGGGACAAACAGCAAACCCTTCCACATTCCAGCTCTCCCTGACCCAGGGCAGGGCAGAGAGGGATGTGCTAACACAAGTGCCCAAGTTCCAAGGCAGATACCTCCATCTACAGGCAGAGTGAAACAAACACCCCCAGAACACCAGCACTGCAGACTGTCCCTGCCCTGCTGTGGAGGTCACAGCCCTGGAGCAGCAGAATTGTTCCTTGGAGGTTGATTTGGCTCCAGCCAGCGAAGAGGCTGCTGTAGTGTGATAATCAACCCCTGGCCCACTCCTAACACACATTCCATGCCCCAGTGGCTTTACAGACATCAGCTAGTGAATGAATCCAGTGGCTGAATCCTGCTCAAGAAGCCGTGAGATGCCCATGGGGAAGTGGGAGCTGTGGAGGATCCTGACTCCCTGCCCTGAGCTGCTCTGCTCCTGGGATGTGCCATCCCTGGCAGGAAGGGCAGGGGCTGCTGCACACCTGAGACCTGTGGCAGCATGGTGAGGGCAGCAGGATGGGTTATCTACACAAACCAAGGAGCAAAGGGAGATTTCTCCCTGAGACTTCTTTGCCTTATCAAGCCGTTGGCATCAACTACAAGACAGCTAAGGCAGCAGAGCATGCACAGACTCCTTCTCATTGCTGGGAGCTCACTCAGGGAGGACACAAAGGAGGTTCCTGCCAGGCTGAGCCCATGCCCAGGTGTGAGGGAAGCAGCAGGGCCCTTGCTGACCTGTGGAAGAGGCAGCACACAGCTCCCGTGGCCGCGGGGCTGGCCGAGGGCGTCACGCAGCACGAGTGGATCTGCAGCAGGGCCTGGCTGCTGCTGTTGCTCTGCACAGCCACCAAGGCCAGGAAGGTCTCTGGGGAAGGTGTTGACCCCTCAGGCTCGGGGGCTGTGTCTGCAGCAGGGTGAAGACTCATCTGCACCGTGTAGTTCCCGGAGCCGCAGGCGTCGTCGCTCACCACGGCCAGGCTGGAGGGAAGGAGGGAGAAGAGCTGAGCTGGCTGCACTGCTGGGAAGCAAACAGCACCAGGGGAGTTTCCTCACTAGAACCAGACAGGAGGTTGAGGCCAATGAAGGACATGTAGACCTGGTGTGAAAGAGGCTCTGGGATCAGAGCCATGACCAGACTCACCACTCACCTCTGCACAGTCCTCAGCTGAACCAGAGGGAGTTTGGAAGTGG